TTTGTGGCACTCAAAGAAACCTCAAATATAAAACAAGATAGTGTTTGACAGGATGGTGTTAACCAGTCATTTTATATCTTTTCTGTGAATTGTTTGGTTATGAATTTTGTCCTTTTTTCCATTGGAAAAATTTCCCCTTAAATTTTCAAGGTCAGTTGGAGCATTTTTAAGGCTCTGCAGTTTGCCACACTGCTGGAAATGGAAGTCTAAATGCTTGCCACTCACAAAATGTGGTCTGTGGATCAGCACCATCTGCATCAGTGAACAGTTTGACATCACCAGGGAGCTTGTTAGAACTGTAAAATTTGGGGCACCAGACCTGCCATTCTGAGTCAGAACCTGCGTTTTAATGAGATCCCCAGGTGATTTATATGTCTAATAAAGTTTGAGAAGCCTTGGTCTCAATGATCCCTTAAAGACCTCATGTTGCACATCCTCTAAGAACCTGTCCTGACTGAAACAGAAGTGAAAGAGGGGATTGTACTACTCCAGTACCATTAACCCAAGCTGGTGTCTGTGAATTCATGTGTTATATTAATCACATACCTTTCCCCAAATGCTCTATCTTGAAGGAAAGGTTGTTTCTTCTATTTATGTCAGCAAAATTGTAAAAAACTTGTTTTGTAAAATTATTAACCCATGTTCTTAGGAAACAAACATTATAAGAAACATTTAGAAAATAAAGTACAGTATAATGGTTCATCAAAAAATTAAATATAAAATTACCATATGATCCAGCAACTCCACTTCTGGGTGTGTACCCAAAATAATTGAAAGTAGAGACCCAAACAAACATTTGTACACCCATGTTTATAACAGTATTATTCACACTAGCCAAAAAGGGGAAAAAACTCAAGTAAGTGTCCATTGATGGATGAATTAATTTTTAAAAAATGTGATACACACACACATACGCACACAATAGAATATTGTTCAGGCTTAAAAAGAGGAAATAAGCTGGACGCAAAAAGAATTATATTGTACGATTCTATTTATATGAGGTATGTAGTCAAATTCATAGAGACATAAAAATAGAATGGTGGTTGCCAGGAACTGAGGGAAGGGGGAATTACTACTGTGTAATGGCTATAGAGTTTCAGTTTGGGATGATGAAAAAAGTTCTGGAGATGGATGTTAACAATGGTTCTGCAACAATGCGAATGTACTTAATGCCACTGAACTGTGCACTTAAAAATGGTTAAAATAGTAAACTTTATACGATATGTATTTTACCATAATAAAAAAATCCAAAGTCTATTCATTATTAGATTGTAAGAAACTTCAAAATTTCATTATTATAAATTTTGATTTCTAGTAATGCTTTGTATACAATAGGATTCATATTTTTTAAAAGGTTCAACTATCATAGGAAAAAAGAAGAAAATTAATAGATGCTTATTTTTAAAAGTGCTATTAATGCAAGGATAAAATAAAGAAAGTGAAAAAATAAATGCAGTCCTCCTCTGCACTTCCTTGGATGCTACAATCCACAGGCCTGACTACTCTTTACAGGTTACTTTTTATTTATGTTAATAACAGATGTACTCTTTCAGGGTATAACTGGAAAAGATTTTAAATGAATTATGTGTCATTAAGACACATACAAATCCTATAGCAAACCTAACAAGGAAATGATTCAGTAAGAGGTTATTTAAACATAGATAATATTTGAATTACAAATATTTGAGCCTAGTGTAGAAAATTTATATGCAATTTTTCAAAACTGGCTGCAATTATATCTCCACTACCTACTAGTATCATCCTCAACTAAAGAAAAACTTTCTTTCTACAGCTTCGGGAAAACCAAGACAGGGTTACTCCTCAAGCAGATGGATATATCTTCCACCACAATTAAACACCATCCATTCCCATTCCATAAAGTGCCTTTGCTTGGAGCTGATGTTCCTTCTGTGAGAGTGTGAGTGCCGCTCTTCATGAGTTGATGCAGTAAAAATGCACACAATTCTAGGTGGGGAGTTATTAAAAACATGCTTTGGTAAATGTATTAGTTTTCAAAGGTTGTTTTAATAAAGTACCACAAACAGGATAGCTTAGAACAACAGAATTTACTTTCTTAGAATTCTGGAGGCTAGAATTCCAAAATCAAGGTTTAAGCAAGGTCATATACTCTTTAAAGGCTCAAGGGAAGAATCCTTTGTCTTGCACAGCTTCTGGTGGTTGCCAGCAATCCTTGGTGCTCTTGATTAGTAGATGCATCATTCCACTCTCTGCCTTTGTTGCCCGAAGGCCTTCTCCTTGTACGTCTGTGTCTGTGTCTCTTCTCTTTTCATAAGGACGTCAGTAATGTTAGTCCAGTATGACCTCATTTTAACTTGGCATATGCAAAGACCTTATTTGCAAATAAGGTCACATTAACAGGTACTGGGATGAGAACTTCAATATTTATTTTGGGGTACGTAAGTCAACCCCTAACAGTAGAACCAAGTTTCTGCTGAAACTTAAACATGAGAAATGTTCCATTTGTTAAAAACACTCTTTATCACAAAGAAGGGTCTCTGCTCTAGGTTGCTGGGAAAATCAGTCTTCCTGTTCTTAGTTCACATTTGCACCCCTCTTCCTTTGACTCTAAGAACTTGCACTTGATTAGACACTGTCAGGACCTTACATTTCATCCCCTGCTTCCTAAATGAAAATCTGCCAATTCTAGAGTGTAGTGAGCCAGCAAGCAAGCACAGAATTTAGGGCTGGTAGAAATGAGATGAAATTAGAAGTTTGGGGAGCTCTTCACTATCCAGATATATGTGTTCTTTTCTTTGCTCATGTATTTCTTAAGACAAAACAAAAAAGGAAAAAAGAGAAAAAGAACCCCTCCCACAAGTTTGTACGCTTTTGTTGTTGCTATATATATATATATCTACTTTCAACATATATATATAAATAGATTATATATATATAATCTATTTTCCTTCTGTGAAAGTAGATATTGTTCAGCGACCCAGGTTAATATGATGGGTAAAGGTTTGTGCTGTTTGGGACTTCTTCAGGAATCAGAAACTCAAAGAGAAATCTTAATTAAGAATTCTCAGACTAGCATCTGGTAGTTCAGCTAAGAACTGAGCTGACAGCTCTCACTGGTGTGGCAAAGCTGGTTGGAGTGCTGTCCCGTAGACAGAAAAGTTGCAAGTTCAATTCCCCATTAGGGCATATATCCAGGTTTCAGGTTCCATCCCCAGTTGGTGGTGTATGAGAAGGCAACCAATCAATGTTTCTCTCTCACACTGAAGTTCCTCTCTCTCTCTCTCTCTCTCTCTCTCTCTCAAAACAATGAAAAATAAAGTCCTCAGATTAAAATAAAAAACAAACAAACAAAAAGAACTGAGGGGACATACATTAGTATAGCTCAGAGGTGTAAATTTTGGGTATGGATGGTCTTATAAAATAGCATGAGGCAGGGTGAGGCTGGCCTATACCTCCCCATCCTAATGGGATCACCCAGTATACGATTGGAACAGAAGAGGCCTGGAAAATGTCTAGGCCATTTCCTGAATTTGTAGAGGAAATAAGTTAGTGTGAGATAGTTTTTACTATCCACACATTACTTGTTTTGTTTATCTTCCAGCCTGTCAGGCTCACTCAGTGCCACATCCTGCGTTCCAATCAATTAAGACCAGGAAAAATAAGACTAGGAAAACAATTCAAACCAGCAAGCATTTATTGAGACCTGATTGCATGCCTAACTTCCAGTCTTAAGGGCCAGACCTGCCTATTACGTCCTGAACGGCGGTGTTTTGCATCTAGCACTGGATTGATAGTTTTCTCTACCACTTTAAAATTCCTCTTTAAGCCAGTGTTTGGTTTTCTGGCAGGGTGGGACGCAATGGGTGGCCTCCTTCCCCGCAATAACGGCGGCAACGATGTCCCTGGACACTTGGGCAGGAGGAGCCACTAAGATTCTACAGAAGGCCAGGTCGGGAGGCCAACGCTCGCATTGCGGAAGCCAAGCTGGCAGGTAAAGAGCTGTCCATCAGCAGGATATGGGCGTGCCCTGCGCAAACCAGCCAACCATCGGAGCCACTCTCGAGAGGGTCCCGCCCTGGGAACCCGCCAAACCCAAACCACTGAGCATGCGCTAAGGTCCCTGACCAAATTATCCCTCCCAGCGCAACATTTCCCCGGCAGGGTCAGGTTTATACTGCTCAGGGTACCCTTAAAAAATAGAGGAAAAGAAGAAAAAGCAGTGGGTGTTCTTTAGCAATGGGAAAGCGGGAAATGTTATGCGAAGAAATTCCTCCGAGTGGTGGGAGTGGTGGTTGTCGCTAGCAGCCGCCAGCTCATGGGCAGGCATATCCTGTCATTTCAGCCTCTTGCAGATTACTGCCTTTCGTTTATAAAAGACATGCGAAGCTCAGAAGTTTTGATCTTGTTCAAGGTGACGCAGCAGGTCACCCTTGACTAGCAAGCGACTCTGGCCTACAGCATCCCTTATCGCGGGATGCTCACTTAGGGTCCCAGAGGCTTCCCACATTTCGCTGGATGCCTCTGGGGCGCTCTGTCCCACCCGCACCATCTCGGCTTCCAAACGGTCCTGTGTTCTCTTCGTGCACTATAAAGGCCACCTTCCTGAAACTTCTGTCCTCTCAGGTCCTAGTCGCACAAGGGAACATGGTGCCACCATTCCCGGACCGTGAGGGTGACCGCGAAGTCCCCAGGACTCTGGAAGTTCTCCATGGGCAGGGAATCTAGGGTCCCAAGGTTCCAGGGTCTTGTACGGGCTGTGTGCCCTCCTGCCGGCGTGCGTGGCCCTTACCTTGGCCCGTCAGGCTTACGGCCCAGGGATCTCCGAGCTGGAGCGGAGCCGCTTCCTCCACCTGCCCCACTGGGGACGCCGCAGGGGGCGCAGGCTGCGACCCGCGGCCTTGCTCTGGCGCTGCGCCTCGCTGGCTGGACAGCCACGCAGGACTCCTAGTCCCGCTGCGCCGGCCCCTCCTCTGTCCGCCCCGCCCCACGCTGCACCGGACACCCCGCCCCGAGGAGGCGGCCTGTGAGCGGCTGCAGTGGGAGGTTGGTAGCATGGGGGAGTTGCCGCCACGGGCACGATTTCCCCTAGCGTTCCCAGGCGCTGCTCCGAACGCAGGGAACTGCGGACATCAAAGGGGTCGCCGCAGAGCGTGACACAGCTCGGAGGGAGGAGGGTGCGTCTGGGGCTGCGCCTCCAGGAAGCGCTTAGGGAGAAACAGGCAGGCGAAGGCGCTGGGAGCCTCTGGCGGGCGGGGCACCAAGGGCGCACCTGGCGGCAGCGCGGCCCGGCCTGACCGAGGGAGCAGGCGCGGTGGCCGCGGCGGCAACAGCAAGGATGTCGCAGCTGTCGCTGCTCCCCGCCTCGGCGGAGACTCGGAAGTTCACCCGGGCGCTGAGTAAGCCAGGCACAGCGGCCGAGCTGCGGCAGAGCGTGTCGGAGGTAGTGCGCGGCTCGGTGGTCCTGGTGAGTGAGGGGATAAGGGACCGAGGGAAGTGGGCGGGCACCACCTCCTCCTTTGCTCTTCTAAGTCGGCTGGGCTGAGATGGAGTAGTCGATCCTGCTGGGCCTTTAAGAGGTGGTGGGAAAGAGAGACAGGGGAGAAAGGGGTGGAATTAGAGGGGCAGCAACTTCAGATCCCACCCTGCGTCTGAAGGTCCTCTCCCCACTGCTGCCCCTTTCCTGGGAGTGAGATCGCTACCACCACTTACCCCACTCCCCATCCCCCAGCCAGTTTACCTCCCTCTGCCAACTGGGAAATTACTCCCATCCCAGTCCCTCCCACAGCCCCATTTTCCTTCGGTATGTGGAGGGGCGTGGCACCTGTAGCTTGAAGGGGCTCAGGGGCTTGGAGATGGATGCTTCCTTTCCCAGTCCGCGACACAGGGTTGGGAGATGGCCCTGCAGACCCTTTGAGTGGGCTGAGCTCCAACAGGGAAGGGGCTCCTCATCCTCTTCTTCATCCTCCTTCTTCTAGCCGGCATCCTGAGGGTTGGCCTCCTCTTAGGAAGGGTTAGGGGAAGTAATAGGAACCCTTGATAATACAGCTTGGTGCAAATTACTATGAAGTTTGGGGATTTGAAGCAAGCGAAGCAAGAAACTCTGAGATTAATTTGGTTGTATCAGAAGGTCTTTAGAGAATAGACCCCTGAATGTGATGGAGACGAAGTTTTAAATAATCTTTTCCACAGCCGGGGCTGGCCCTGCTATATTGGGATACGCAGTGTGCCTGATTGATTGGATGGTTCGGGAGAGGAGCTCCGTGTGAGCAGCAGCATGCTCTTCAGGGCAGCTGGAAACTTTCAGTAGCAACTTGTCTTGTCGCTGACATTTGTTTTTTTTGAAAGGGGTTTGTTTGTGGGTGGGTAACTTGTGTTTGCTGGAATGATGCAGGAAGATGGGCCTTGGAAGTGATTCACTGGGCTTTGTGGCTCTGTGTGTGTGTGTGTGTGTGTTGGGGAGGTTATTATCAGGGTGGAGTGCCAAGTCCTTTAAAACAGGGGCTGGGCATCTTTTTGGCGGTAGATAGGGGCCCTTCCTGGGCAAACACAGGATGACATGAATAATATTTGTGGAGATCGGAGATGAAGTTTTGCTGATTTCCAAATTCAGCTTTCTTAGTTTGATTTTTCTCTCAATTGCCAGCTCTGCCAACTCACTCCAGACTCTGCAAACTACAATTTGTTCCATAATAAAGAGGGATGTTAATTTTTCTTTTTTATTAAAGTTGATCCATTGATGGTACAGAGTAGAGCAGGAGTTGACAATAGACCAGAACCTGGTATCTTGTCCATAACCCCAGCCAACTTCTGCTGCTTTGGCTTAAGTAGGATGTCTGCATCTTCCCAACTTTAGACAATGTATGTTAAGGATAAAACTGCATCTTCTCTGTTTTCATAGGAAACTTAGTTCTTTAAAGTGGGGGCTACTGTTCTCATCAGGGATTTGTGACTAAAAGAAGACTAAATCAAATATAACTTTGCCATGACTTCCAAAGTGTTAGGAGACCTGGACTGAAGAGGAGTTATTAGTTTAATAAGCCATTAAGTTGAGCACGGAAGTGCCAAAATAGACACAACACTGCTAATTATCAATGCACAACAGTCCTTGAATATCTGTTCTTCCTTTTGGAGAATGGCTTACTGATAGTGACTTAGTGTTCATTCCCACGTGTGACATTCTTTTACTGTGTTACCTTATGACACTTTTAATAGTATATCTATTTTTCCCTGGATCTCTTAAGCATGAACACTTACAGGTACCAAAAATTACCCACAAATTCCACTTCCCTCACCTCCTGCCAGGTACTCTGCTGCTCCCCTGTGTATGCCAGGAAGTCACAGCAGGTGCATCTCCCACACAGGTTCTGGCTGAGCTTTGTTCTAAGAGGATATACGAAAGTAACTCTGATCCATGCAGGAGGCAGAGCCAAAACCAAGCTGGGCTGTGGAATCCCATAGTCTATTGATCTATGCTTGGATGGAAGTATTACTCTGCTCTGTCTTTGATGACTCGGGTCAGAGCTAATACAATGCTTCTATAGCATAATAAATGCTTATTAAATTTTCTTAACTAGATGACTAATAAAGCAGTTCTGCAGATGGACTAAAAGAAAAAAAAATGCATAGGTTATTGATTTAACTAGCTCTTCCCATGCTTCTAGTATCGATGAGTGGCCTGTAGTGAGTTCAGAGGTTGCCATTTAACAAACAAACTTTAAAGTGTAAAAGTGAGATGTGCTTATAAATTTTTCAGTTTCATTTTTTTATGTCTAGGTTTGTGGTCCTTTAAAAATGGTTTTGTACTAATTTATTTGAAAAACCTGAAAATAACCCAAAAATGTGGAAAGAATACTATAATGAACCCTCATACTCCATCACCCAGATTCAATAACTGTCAAGATTTTGCCAGACTTGTTTCAGCTGTTCCTTTATTTCTGGTGTGTGAGAGTGTGTGTGTGTGTGTGTGTGTGTGTGTGTGTGAGAGAGAGAGAGAGAGAGAGAGAGAGAGAGAGAGAGAGAGACTGGGTTCTAGACCTCCTGTCATTTCGCCCCTATATACCTAGTATGTATTATTAAAAATAGGGATATTTTCTTTAATTTTTTTAAAATTAAATTTTATTAAAATAGGGATATTTTCTTTAATTTTTTTAAAATTAATTTGTGCATCCCTAACTGGGAACTGGGCCCGCAACCCAGGCGTGTGCCCTGACTGGGAATCAAACCTGTGACCTTTCTATTCACAGGCTGGTGCTCAATCCACTGAATCACACCAGCCAGGGCTAAAAATAGGGATATTTTCTTACATAATTGTAATGCCACTATGATAAAGTTAATAATATTCTGTTGATATACCATTCAGTTTTTCCAGATTACTTAAATGAACATTTTTGATTAGTAGTTTGTTCTAATCAGGCTCCAGTAAGGTTTATAGACCTTTTCAAATGTGGTTTCCAATTATAGAGCTGTTGGGAGGATTAAATGAGCAGCCCAGTAAAAGCTCTTAGTACTTAACATATATTCTTTCAGTTACTAAGTCACCTTGTGCTGTTGCTTAACTTCAGGACTCCTGTTCTATTAAACAGGACTTTACTGAATTGTTTCTAGAGCCCTTTTCCCCACCAACAGGCTTTGATTCTAAGCGGCTTTAATTAGAGTAATAGATGTACTACTAGTAATATTCCAATAAAATTTACTGAAGGAAAGTTAATTTATGATTTTGGGTAATGAAAGAAGAATCCTCATGATTCCAGAATTTGCTTTCCATGATTTAGAATCATCAGAAGGGCAGCATGCTCAAAATATACGCAAGCTCAGAAGAAAGACTAGAAATAATTCGAGCAGAGTCGAGTTGTGATTGCTTTTGGAGCTCCTGAAGGCATTTTACCTTGGGTTGCTCAGTGTATTAAAGATAGCATCATAATGGCCTAGATCTAACAGTATATCATTCAAAGCCTAAAAATATCCTTTCTCTGAAAGAGTTGTTTAAATATGGTGACACAGCTCTTTGTATGGGTTTACCGACTTATATGCACCTGGGTATTGATGCCCAAGTCATCTGGCTGCCGGCTTCCTTTCTGATCTTATTTCACTATGTTCTGTTTCAAACTCTCCTTCTATGTTAATCCCCTGCCAGCAATACTATTTTGTGCCTCTTGGAGATCTAGCAATATAAAATGAAATGAAATGAAATGAAACCAAGTCAGGTCATTACTAAATTTTACTTTGTGTTACTGGAGGATGGACAGAGGTGTGGAATGATAATCTCCCAGGATATGTGCTTGGGCCTTCTTCACCCTCCCAGTTCAGTCAGCTCAGAATTCCAGTATTATCTGAGGTAATGTGAGACCCGAGTGTTGTTCTTTGAAATGCTCTGGTAACATAAAACCTCATTTTGGCTGTAATTTTAAATCAGATATGTTAGTAAATTGGCAACTAAACTGGCATGAGCTTCACCTCACTGTCTTTCTCCACCCTCTGGTGGAGTCCTAACAAACAGAAATAATCCCAAAATGCAGGAAGCAGGGTGGAGGCTCATCTCCAACAAGATAATCAACAACAGGTTCTATTTCTTTGGCTTCTAGTCTATTTGAATATTAGGAGACAGGAGGGCCTCAAATTGGAAAAAGGAAGGAGGGGATTGTGAAATTTTTATTCACATTTATTGAGGGTCTGCTCTGTGCTAGCACTCTTGGCCGGATGCTGAGGATATGCCATTTTGTTAGAGCAAGCCCTTGTCCTTAAGGGTTTAGGATCTAAACAGGTAGAAAGGTTAGTCATCTATAAAAAGATGGATAACAGTACAAAAGAGCAAATTTAAAGGGTCAAATGCCTGCTTCAGAGAATTGAGGAAGATGAAATGACTGAACTGGTGTATTAGGAAAGGATTTATGAAGAATTGAACTGGATTTGGAAGATCCAGCCATAAGGGGGACTTATTTTTTTCCAGAAAAGAATGAAATTGAGCAAATGCTCAGGATGCCCAGGTAGGCCAACAGTAAGCAGAGCAGCTTGGGCAAAGAGAGGCATGTTTTAGGAGGAGGGGAGATAAGTTTTGAGAAATACAGTTGCTAGTTTTGGAAAAAATATCAATGATTGGCTGAGAACACATTGTAAGAGATTTTTTCTTGTCTTCATGGAACCTGTTTTAGGAAAGAAGTTCAAACCAGCCTATGAACATATGCTTTTTAAGGCGATCTTCCCTTAAGTGTAATCTTGGGGTAAATGTGATAGGTTTGTGTCATGCAAGCCCAAGGACAGGATAGAGGTCAGCGGTGTGGAAGAGAAAACTCTGAAATCTCTGTGTATAAACAGGTATCATGTGAAGAATCAAATATGGTGAGTGCACCATTTAGTAAACAGTGGTGCATAAAGCAGTGTTGGAGCTCCATCATAAATCACATACTAAAATAAGTATAACTAAACATAAGAGTTACATATAAAATAAATAATAGAAATAGCATAAAT